GGAAACATATTTTTAAAGGCAGTAAAGAATCCACATGATATATAAATGTCTCTTTTGGTCCATATTCAAATACCAGTGGTTCTTTGCCTCTGGAGGTAATATGTGAGGACTACACAATACTGCCTGTTGTTCTACAGTTTCAAATAGAATCATCATTAGGTACTCCTAAAGAATGACACAGTCAATTAATATGACCTAATAATTTCTGAAAGTCGTTGTTTCTAAATTGTCTAGTGAACACTTTTTTGTGTGTGGTTTAACAGTTGTTCTAGTAACTAATTATTCCAAATGTTGCACAGTATCTGATCTTTCAGTGCAAAAATAAGTTCATTTCCTTGGCATGTCCTGAGACATGTTACATATGAATTGGAGCACTGCCTCTTTGGAACATGCAAATGATACTGAATGATATAAGGCTGAGGAAAGGCCTTTCTCACAGGCTCTGACAGTATTTACAGATAGTGGGGGAGTTTGTCCTGCCTTGAGGTAATACAGTCCATTGGCATTGGAGCAGAAGTTCTTCACAATTGACGGAACAGAAAGAATGAAATTCACATTATTATCAGGATGAATATGTGTAAAGAGAAGCTTTTTCTTTGAGAGGAGCCTTCCCGCCAGCCTGGTTCCAGAGCCGCATCAGTCCCAAATAAACACACAGGAGGCTATATTAATTATAAAGATGTTGGCCTTGCTTGTTTCTTACTGGCTAGCTCTGACTTAAGTAATTACCCCATAATTGTTAATCTAAGTATGTCTCTTACCGGAGAATAGTTCCAGACTTCCTACCCCATGGCGTTACATGTCGAACTCTCCTGTGTTTCTCCTTCCCAGAATCCTCCTGGACTCCTAGTCCCACCTATCTAGATTCCTATTGGCTCAACAGTGCTTTATTAACAAAAGACTTCCCCAACATCTCCTCTGTTCTGTTTAAACAAAAAAAAGGTCTTAACTTTAACATAGTCAAATTGTATATGACAGAACAGTTATCAAGTAAGAACATAGTTACAATATTTTAGCAAGATTTAAAGAAAATGTCATCCATCCCATCCTTGTGAGTCCAAAGTTCTTTTTTTTTTCAAAATATGGGACAATTCGCTTTTAATCCCATAGCCTTTTTAATAAGTTTTAGTAATCAAGTTGTAAGCTAAAACAGACATCCAGACTACTTTTCCTTAATTTGAGATTTACTAGAAGAAATGACGCAAAGAATGGAAGCCTTGGAAAACCGCCTACGGTACAGATGAAGACTAGAAATGCTTTTGTGTTTGTACACCATTATGAAAAGGATTTTAAAGAGTGGTGGAGTCTCAACACTCACACCAGAGTTAAATCTGTAAAGTGAAACCCAACCAGCTACAGAAGACACTGGATTGCTGTACAAGAAATGCAGACACTAGTAGACACTAAGGTGTCTAGATTTCTCATTGGGGGTGGGGGATCCTCCTGAATCCTAAAGTAGTCAACCACGAGAATGAGCTGTGCAGTGTTCTGCGATGAGTCCAAAGTTCTATATGTAGCTTATCTTTTATCATAACTAAGGAAAACTATAACCATAACTATCTGTCTTCAACTCCATCAAAGACCACAGAAGGATAATATATAAACACTAGGATTGACAGAGATATCTTACTGCCTGGACAGTCACCCGAAGTTCCTCTGTAACGCTGGGGCATCCATCTTCAGTCCATAGGAGGCCACAATGTGTCTGGAACACTTCTCAGCAAAGTAGGAAATTTTGAACTGTCCATCTGCATTGGCAGTCTGTCAGTCATTTTTCTGTGTCCTGCAGAAAGTCTGGTAGACTCTTCCATGAAGCAGGAACCCTGTAAGACTGAGTTCAGCAGTTACTTTTCTGTGAGTCCTGCATGTCCAGATTATATAACAACAGTCAAGCAGTACAGGCAAGAGCAGTTTCTTGCCCAAATGGCTAATCTTGCCATGTTGAAAGCAAACTCCATAGCAAGTTTCTTCGATGCCCATCTTCCTCTCAGACGTAATTGGTGGTGCCAGTAGCAGACATTTCTCATTGTCAAGAAAAACCCTAAACCATTTTAAATGCCATTTTCTGAAGATCTTTGAGAGGTTTGAAGATTGTCTATCTATCTCAAATATATTTCTGTATATCAAGAAAACCTAACTTACCTAACTATAAATTCTAAGTAACTATCTATAGTCTGTATTCAATTATGTATTACGTTTTAAAAGATCAGTGTAAGCACAATACTTAATCAAGAGGAGAAATATACACATCACAAAATTGACCTTGAATTTGTATCAATAAATGAAAAACAATACCCATACCATAATTCCCCTTTTTACCATTAAAAAGAGATTGGCTGTGATCATTAACCAATTATAAACAATCCCATTTAAATGAAAACAAAGATTTATAAACAAGATGGGAATTAGGACGTCGCTCATTCCAAACTGCTTCATGCTGGAAGGGGGTGCTGTTCATACCATGGGGATCATGACAAAACTCAGAAACCTGTATAAGTCCTTATTTTTCGGGGTCTGTGAAGCTCCATCATCTTAGCTGTCTCAATTGTTGGAACACCTGGTCCAATGCTTCCAGGGGTCTTGGTTCGTCAAACCACAGAAGCCTGGAAGGAATCCTCAGCTTTTCATTTTCTGTGGAAACATAAACTAAAACTCCTTTTCTGAGTAACATATCCTTATACTTAAATTTTGAAGTCAAGGCATTTTTAAAAGATAGAAGTTGGATTAATTCAGCAGCATTTATAAGCAAGTGTACTTCAGTAGCTGTTCCTTCCTTAGCAATCAAAAAACTGAAAAACACAATAGCGTACAGTATCCAGACTCTCTGTTTATTTTCCATCTTTATGTGGCTTATTTATCTATTATTACTTTATTTCTTTCACTTTTATTTATTTTTCTCTGAGACAGGGTTTCTCTTTGGAAATCTGCCTGCCTCTGCCTCTGCAGCAATTCCTACCAGCGTGCGCCACCACAGCCGGCTTCTCTATTTTCTTTCTCAATCTTACGTATATTTTAAACACACTGTAAACCTTTAGAGGTTTTGTTCATCCAAGTCTGACTTTACTGTAAATCTTTATTTTTTTTCTGGCCACATCCTTATCTGTAAAACCGCGGCTGTTTTAAACTGCCGTTTCTAAGATGGCGGGCGTAAGCGTGATTCCAACTTACCGCCTCAGTCCATGCTGACATCCAGCAAAAGCTGCCACTTCCAGCTGTACGTACACACCTTTCAATCGTTAGCAGTCTCTTAAAACAACCTTGCTGGTTTTTTGTTTTTTGGTTGTTTTTTTTTTTTTTTTTATGCCGAGTCAGGAAGACTCCAGTAAGTGAGCCGCGTGAATTTCGGCTTGTCGCTAGCAAAACACCTGAGAAAAATGCTGCTATCAAAAATCTGTGCTTCTCTCCATTCTTCTGTTTCTAAAATTCCTTTAAAGCTTTTGTCATTATACGTGGAAATTCAATCCCGCTCTGACACCATTCTGTAATGAGAAGCTTTTTCCTTGCGAGGAGCCTTCCCGCCAGCCTGGTTCCAGAGCCGCATCAGTCCCAAATAAACACACAGGAGGCTATATTAATTATAAAGATGTTGGCCTTGCTTGTTTCTTACTGGCTAGCTCTGACTTAAGTAATTACCCCATAATTGTTAATCTAAGTATGTCTCTTACCAGAGAATAGTTCCGGGCTTCCTACCCCATGGCGTTACATGTCGAACTCTCCTGTGTTTCTCCTTCCCAGAATCCTCCTGGACTCCTAGTCCCACCTATCTAGATTCCTATTGGCTCAACAGTGCTTTATTGACAAAAGACTTCCCCAACAAATATGTATATTATAAAAGCAATCTTTTAAATCCAAAACTATTGAAGGCCAGTAAATGTGGCTGTAAACCTCCCCCTGGCCAGTTAGTGTTTGGTAGCCTTGATGATATAAAAAAGATTTATCATCTTACGCTGTAATAGCTATAGGTGACAATTTAGTGAGGGAATGGGTATGTTTAAAGGCAACAAATGATCCATATGATACACAAATGCCTCTTTGGTCTAGATTCAATCACTGCAACATTTAGATTTTACTCAAGTTGCTTTGGACATACCAATTACAGTTCATGAGGTCAGGATGGAACTGGTAAAACTAGCTTTCCCATAGACTCTCCTAAGTCTTCATCAAAACCAAGAATTCAAGATTTGGTTGATGATTAAATTACTCACACCATGCTTTTGGGTCTTTTTCAGAAAACGGATGACATGTATCTAGAGGTGGCTCCAATAAGGGAGAGAGGGAGTTGTCACCTGAATAGACACTGGTGATGCTATTTTTACTTTTGATTTTCCCTGACAAGAAAAATCAGCATTTTTGCTTCTTTTACCACTTTTAAGGTTTGATCATAGTTTATATTCACTCCTTCATGAATAATATCCTCTTTATCTTTCTTAATCATTTTGGTAATAGCCCAAGTTAAAGAACAAGTGACCCAAAATTGAACAGGGTTTTTTTTCAATGTCCTTTTGGATTCTGTCTCATACTGCTTCATCTAAAATTCTTTCTTCTGGAAACCAGGAATTACAATCATAAACAATTTACAAGCAATTCAAGAGTTGTGGGTTTTTTTGTTTTTTTTTTTTTTTGGTTTTTCAAGACAGGGTTTCTCTGTGGCTTTGGAGGCTGTCCTGGAACTCGCTTGGTAGTCCAGGTTGGTCTCGAACTCACAGAGATCCACTTGCCTCTGCCTCCCGAGTGCTGGGATTAAAGGCGTGCGCCACCAACGCCCGGCTGAGTTGTGGTTTTAATAATTTAGAGTTTAATAATTGTCAAATTATTAAATGTTCACCACAAGGCAAAGCCTCCCTGCTTGCTGCTACCTTATTCTCACTCACCGCCTTTTTGTGGGTCTCCACTCTCTTATCTTGTAGTCTACTTCTGGTTCCTCTTCAAGCACCACTTTCCACCACTCTAAAGATGGTGGGACCTGGGAGAAAGGAGCCCAAAATTGTGGAAGACAAAAGTCTCATACAACAGCCAACTTTATTCAAAGTCCAAGACAATTTATATTCTGCAGGTTAAGAAAGGTCACATGAGGAAAAAAGGTCTCATGACTTCAAGCTGTATACAATGATAAAAACAAGTCACATGAGACACACATGTTTTTTCATACAGGCATATAAATGATAGTTTAAACAGTTAATGAATAACAACAGCAAGCAATAATGTGTAATCTGAAGTCAACTCACATCTATCTGCTACACCATGGAGGAGCACAAAAACACAACCCAAGAACAATGCCATGTTTTGAAGACTCTTGTCTTTTCTTGGATTGTTAACATAAGCATGTAGAATTCTCTTCAATGACCCCTTTCTGGAACCATATTCCAACAATACATCTAAATTTATTTTAATTTTAGGAAAAAACAAAACAATATATAAGTCTTTTAGAAATATGGAGCATACACATGCACAAATACATAAATATCTGTCTTTGAACCATTTGTATACCTGGTACCCAAGGAAGCATCAGATATCCAGGACAATGTATTAGAAGTAGTTCTGAGCTATCTGATGTTGATGCTAGGACTCAAACATGGGTATCCAACAGCAGCAGTACTACTGAGGCAAATCCCCAACTCCCAAATATGTCATTACTTGGAAGTGATGAAATTCCCTATTTGTTCACTGAAGGACTGTATGATTTCTAACCCTATGTGAATGGACTCTGCCAATTGCTTCTTGTTGTAATTGTTAACACAGTTCTCTAGGGGAGAAAGAAGAAAACAAAATAGTTACCTGAGTAGATGAGTTCAGATTACATTAGGGAAAGTTTCATAATGTGATATATTCTCCTTTTTATTTACATGCATATGTGTTTGTTTGTATGCATTTTGTATGTGTGTTAGATATTCTGGAATAGGACTTACAGTTGTGAACTTTCCTCTGGGTGCTGGGAATTGAAACTGTGTCACCTGAAACAATAGCCGGTATGTTTAACTGAGCCATCTGTTCACAACCCACTTTTATTTGGGGGGGGGGATTTTTGAGACAGGACATCTTAGTTAAAATTTTAGCAATGAAACACCATGAGGAAAAATCAAGACTGGGAGGAATGGGCTTATTCAGCCTAAAGTTCCATATTGCTGTTCATCATTGAAGGAAGTCAGGACAGAAACCTAAATGGGGCAGGAACCTAGACACAGGCGCTGACACAGGGTGCTGCTTACTGACTTGTTCCCTGTGGCTTTCTCAGCTGCTTTCTTATAGATCCCAGGACACTTCCCCATGAAGCATTAATTAAGAAAATGCCCTACAACAAGGTCTTATGGAGGCATTTTATCAACTTAGTTTCCCTCCATTCAGACAACTCTCGTTTGTGTGTGATGCTGACATAAGAGGAGCCAGTACAACTGACCACTTGTCATCTTAACACACACACATATCAGTACTGAGCCACACCCTTCCCTTTCCTTTTCATCCCCAAGACCTCATATTAAAAACATATGTGGCTTTAATAAAAGTCCTATGATCTTTACAAATTTAAACACATTAAAATTTTTCTTTAAAAATATCCAATCTCACTAAAAATCCAAAATCTCTTTTAAAAGTTCAAAGTCTTCCAATTATGGCTTTTTTAAAAAATCAAAATTAAATACCTCTCCCTTCAAGAGGGAAGGATAAGGGTAGACACATTCTGAAAAAAAGAAAAACAAACTCCAACAGTATAAATAACTCCATTACTAATGACTGGGACCCACTGACAATCTTCAGGGGCTCTCCAAAGGGCCTGAGTCTCTTCACCAGCACCTGCCTCTGCAGTACACACAACTTCTTGTCTAGGCTCTGGCTGGGTCCACTTCACCACTGCTGATGGTCTTGGTGGACACCCCATGGCACTGGTACCCCCAAAACGATGTTGTCTTTGCTTCCTGTGCAAAGTTTTACCTCTTTTATGAGGTTCATGGGACTTTTCTCTAGTATGTATTCTTTCATGATATTGAAGATGACTCTTACGAGCAAAAGCTTTACCACATTGATTGCATGCATAGGGTTTCACACCAGCATGACTTCTTTCATGACTGAGAAGATTACTGCGAGATGAAAAGGCTATACCACATTGATTACACTCATAGGGTCTCTCTCCAGTGTGACTTCTTTCATGCCTTTGAAGGTGACTGTTGTGTGCAAAGACTTTCCCACATTGACTACATTCATAGCGTTTCCCTCCAGAATGACTTCTTTCATGCCTTTGAAGGTGACTGTTATGTACAAAGGCTTTACCACACTGGTGACATTCAAAGGGTTTCTCAACAGCATGATTTCTTTCATGTCTTTGAAGACTACTGGGATATGCAAAGGTTTTACCACATTGACTACATTCATAGGGTTTCTCTCCAGTGTGACTTCTTTCATGAATTTTACGTTCACTGGGACGTGCAAAGGCTTTTCCACACTGATGACATTCATAGGGTTTCTTTCCAGTATGAATTTTGGGCTCTTGAAGATAATTGTGACATGCAAAATCTTTATCACCTTGATTATACTCATAGGGCTTCATTTTCAAATGTGTTCTTTGGTGTAATTTTAAAGAAGAATCAGAACTAAATGTTTTGTCATGGTGCTTACATTTACAGGGTTCCTCTTCATTACGGTTTCTTTTGTGTGTTTGAAGATACCTGTGATGGTTTAAGCCTTTTGTATATGGCTCACATTTACAACATCCTTTTCCCATATGAGTTTTTTCACATCTTTGAAGAGAACTGGAAGAACTCACAGTTTTACCATATTGATCACACTCATAACATTTTCCTGTAGTGTCAGTCACATTACATGTGCAACATGAGCCAGGACAGACAGATGAATTTCCATATTCCTTGTACTCACAAGGCTCTTTTCCAACATGAGTTTGTGTTTGTTGAAGTATTCCCAGTGAAGTTGGAAATTCAATTAATTCTACACTTGTATCATGATCACTATGTCTTCTCACAGTGGGAACAACTACATATCTCCTATTTTTTCTGGGAGACACAGAGGAACATTGCTTCTTTCCACACCCCTTAGGATCACATGGCTTGTATCCACAGTGGCAGATCATGTACCTATTTAAGGAACAATAACAAACAAAAGGTTTTCACATTGCATTCACAGTTTAATTTTAAGATAGGTCTCTCCACCACAACACCCTTCTTGATTGTTACAAACTGATCCTCTCACTAAATTATGGTAAACCTATTCAAATATATGAGTAATATTAGCTTGACTACCAGACAATTTGCTAATAAAAGTTCTTGGACATACCCTAATTCTCTAATGAATGTGAATGCCTTTACAATACTTGAATGGAATGAAACTAAATGAATGTATAGTTCTATAACATGGATCTCAGGAGACTATGATTGATGTGGTGACGTCTGTTAAGGCATTATTCCCCTGTCTTGTTTCTTAGAAGACTGCCATGCAAACACAGGTCAGGTACCTGAAACTGAGGTACATAATGTTTTAAGAATTTAATAATTGGCCGGGCGGTGATGGCGCACGCCTTTAATCCCAGCACTCGGGAGGCAGAGGCAGGCGGATCTCTGTGAGTTCGAGGCCATCCTGGTCTACAAAGTGAGTTCCAGGACAGCATCCAAAGCCACAGAGAAACCCTGTCTCGAAAAACCAAAAAAAAAAAAAAAAAAAAAAAAAAAAAAGAATTTAATAATTGGTGCCCAGCTCGGACCCTCCTGAGGCCTGGGGTCTGCACACAGGGGAACCCGCCCTGGTGGCCCAGCCCATCCAGAGAATAGGTGAAGTCAAGGTGCTACTCTCATTTCCACCCATCGGAATATTGGACCTGCTTGTAAACACCAGAAGAGAATCTTGGATCTGTACCCACCAGGAGAGGGAAAGACACCACCAGCTCCCACTGGAAGAAGGAATGGGAAGACAACACTATAAGAACACAGTCAACAACAGAAAGATCAATGTGGCACCACCAGAGTCTAGCCCTACTATATACATACAATAAATGGGCTGAGAAAGAAATCAGAGAAACATCACCCTTTACAACAGCTACAAACAACATAAAATATCTTGGGGTAATGCTAACCAAACAAGGGAAAGACCTATATAACAAGAACTTTGAGTCTTTAAAGAAAAAAATTAAAGAAGATACCAGAAAATGGAAAGGTCTCCCATGTTCTTGGATTGGCAGGCTCAACATAGCAAAAATGGGCAATCTTGGCAAAAGCAATCTACAGAGTCAATGCAATCCCCATCAAAATCCCAACACAATTCGTCACTGTCCCTTCTTGAAAGGACAATACTAAAATTTATATGGAAAAACAAAAAACCCAGGATAGCCAAAACAATCCTGTACAATAAAGGAACTTCCAGAGGCATCACCATCCCTGACTTCAAGCTCTATTATAGATCTATAGCCACTCTAAACAGTTTGGTATTGCCACAAAAATAGACAAGTAGACCAATGGAATTGAATTGAAAACTCTGGCCAGGCATTGGTGGTGCACGCCTTTGATCCCAGCAATCAGGAGGCAGAGGCAGGCGGATCTCTGTGAGTTCAAGATCGGCCTGGTCTACAAGAGTGGGTTCCAGGACAGCCTCCAAAGCAATACAGAGAAATCCTGTCTCGAAAAACAAACAAAAAAAAAAAACAAAGAAAGAAAACTCTGATGTTAACCCACAGACCTATGAACACCAGATTTTTGACAAAGAAGCTAAAGTTATACAATGGAAAAAAGAAAGCATCTTCAACAAATGGTGCTGGCATAACTGGTTATTGGCCTGTAGACGACTACAGATAGATTCATATCTATCACCATGACAAAACTTAAGTCCAAATGGATCAAAGACCTCAACATAAATCCAGCCACACTGAACCTCTTAGATGAGAAAGTGGGAGGTACCCTTGAACAAATTGGTACAAGAGACAGCTTCCTAAACATAACACCAGAAGCACAGACACTGAGATTGACAATTAATAATTGTCCTTCAATTTTGGGGACCTCCTGAAACTGGGAAGCTTCTGTAAGGCAAAGGACACAGTCAACAAGACAAAAAGGCAGCCCACAGAATGGGAAAAGAAATTCACCAATGCCACATCTGACAAAGGACTGATTTCCAAAATTCACAAAGAACTCAAGAAGCAAGTCTCCAAAACACCAAAGGATGCAATTAAAAAGTGGGATAGAGAACTAAATAGAGAATTCTCAATAGAGGAATCTAAAATGGCTGAAAGACACTTAAGAAAATGCTCAACATTCTTAGCCATCAGGGAAATGAAAATCAAAACAACTCTGAGATATCATCATATTCCTGTCAGGATGGTTAAAATCAAAAACACTAATGACAGTTTATACTGGAGAGGATGTGGAGAAAGGGAACACTCCTCCACTGCTAGTGGGAGTTCAAACTCATACAGCCACTTTGGAAATCAGTATGGAGATTCCTCAGGAAAATGGGAATCACAAGATCCAGCAACTCCACCCTTAGGAATATACCCAAAAGTTGTACATTCATGCAACAAGGACGTCTGCTCAACTATGCTCATAGTAGCATTATTTGTAATAGCCAGAACAAACATGGTATGTACTCACTCATATATGGATTTTACACATAGAGCAAAGGTTTACCAGCCTACAGTCCACACCATCAGAGAAGTTAGGAAACAAGGAGGACCCTAAGAGAGATATACATGGCCCCCTGGAGAAGGGGAAAGGGACAAGATCTCCTGAGCTAATTGGGAGCATGGGGGGAGGGGAGAGAGAGTTATGAGAAAGAGAAGGGGAGAAGAGGAGGGGAGAGGAGGACAAGAGGGAGCAGGAAGGTTGAGCCGGGAGAAGAACAGAGGAGAACAAGAAAAGAAATACCATAATAGAGGGAGCATTATAGGTTTAAAGAGGAATCTGGCACTGGCACGAGGGAATCTCCAGAGATATGCAAAGATGACCCCAACTAAGAATCTAAGCAATAGTGGAAAGGCTACCTTAAATGCCCTTCCCTGATAATGATATTGATGACAGCCTTATATGCCATCCTAGAGCCTTCATCCAGTAGCTGATGGAAGCAGAAGGAGACACCCACAGCTAAACACTGAGCTGGACTATGGAATCCAGTTGCAGAGAGGGAGGAGTGATGAACAAAGGGGTCAAGACCAGGCTAACGAAACCCAGAGAAACAGCTGACCTGAACAAGGGTGAGCTCATGAACCCCAGACTATATCTGGGAAACCAGCATAGGACCGATCTAGACCCCCTGAATGTGGGTGTCAGTTAGGAGGTCTGGGCAATCTATGGGCCTCTGGTAGTGGATCAGTATTTATGCCTAGCACACGAGTGGATTCTGGGATCCCACTCCACATAGAGGGATGCCCTCTCAGCCTAGACACACAGGGGAGGGCCTAGGCCCTGCTCCAAATGATATGACAGACTTTGAAGATCCACCATGGAAGGCCTCACCCTCCCTGGGGCACAGAAAGGGGATGGGATAGGGGGCTGGTGGGGGGCAGGGGAGGAGGGAAAGGAGAGGGAACTGGGATTGACATGTAAAACAAGATTGCTTCTAATTTAAATTAAAAAAAGGAAAAAGACAATTTAATAATTGTTACAAAGCTGTGATTACTGACACTGTTGCTTTTCATTATATATCAGGGCATATTAAAATTTCTTCAGAGGCACAAATCTATCACCTTACACAAGAAATTTACCTTCCATGTCTTCTAGAACTTTGACAATGTTCTTCAATATTTGGATCTTCCCACTTGTAGCCTAAAATGTATTACAGAAAGGTATATTATTGGAAATTATGAAAATCTGAGTTATTATCTTCAGTGAACTTTGGAACCAGGCCTTACTTATTTACCACATTCTTCTTTTTTAACAGTCGAAAACACAATGAAACACCAGTCCCTTAAGTTACAAAGTGACAGAAAGCTCACATTCTTACCTATAGAAACGAGGTTCTCACAGGTCTCCAGCATCACATCTTTGTAGAGACTCCTCTGGGAAGGATCCAGCAAAGCCCACTCTTCATGAGTGAAGTTCACATGCACATCCTCATAGGTCACTGCGTCCTAAAGTATCCCATAGTATACATAAGAGAAATGGTGAGACTGACTGCATTGAAAATGCACACTTCATTGGGAATATATTTACATGATTCTGTGTGCTCCACAAATTTATTTGACAGCACAGAATTTCAAATGCACTCACCCAGTCATTTTAGAATGAAACAGAAAAGGAGGACAGTGACTCATGAAGAGCCCTCTGAATAGTGTATGGCCCTGCAAAACAAGTGCTGACTTACACGAATAGAGCATTAGTACTGCATGAACATCAGCAACCGTATCAAAACTACTGACATCAAAAAATGTTCAACAAGATGGGCATGGTGGTGCACACCTTTAATCCTAAAATTCAGGAGGCAGAAACAAGTAAATCTCTGTGATTTTCAGGCCAGCCTGGTCGATGTATCAATTTCCAGGACAGCCAAAGGTACACATTGAAATCCTGTCTCAAACAGAGAAAAAAAGAGAGCCCTCAGGGGCTCACTCTAAATTTCGTCAATGAGTTAAAAATCCTCTCAAGATATGTACTTGTCTTTCAGAAAACAGGAATTTAAACTCTAAGGCTAATATGATATTCTTAACAAGGAATGCACTTTTAATGTTATTGCCTGACAAATTAAAGCGTTCTTTAAAAATTAGTGACAAAAGGCTTATGTTAAAAAATAAATTAATTAATTAAAAATAAACAAACCAGCAGAGTATGATGAAGATGGGTGAACAGTTAAAATCACCTGTGGCTTTTGCAGAGGACCTGCATCAATACCCAGCTCTCACTTGGAGCTCCCAACAATTTGTAATTCCAGTTCAAGAGAATCCAGTGCTCTCTGATGACGTCAGAAAATACCAGGCACACACAGTACACATGCATATTTATAAGTAACAGACTCATGCACACATTTCAAAAGTTAAAAAATAAAACATGCATAAAGATATGAAGAATGTTATATATCTGCAATGCAATGACTCAGGAGAGCATTATTAATGCCATAGATGCACGCCATCCTAGTGGGAAAAAAATGATAATTTCTGCAAAAGTTTGAAACAAGTGGGTAAAGCTCAGTACTAGAGCAAATGCTTCACATGCACCAAGACTTCATTCCATCAGCCAAAAGTATAAAAATTAAAGCATCAGGGCAGAAAAATGTCTTAGCAAGGAAACCTATTACTTCGGTTTTACTTTACATTATTTAGGGACAACGTCTGTTATGATTGTTATGTCGTGGCGGCATGAGAAGGACAGGGGCTGCTCAGTTTCAACCACAGAAAGAAGACAAGTGTGCTCAGGGTAGAAACACTCAGCAGCCACCCCAGAAACTAATGTACTCCAAAAAAGACCATTATCCTAGAGGCGCCCTATGAAAACCCCAGACCATAAACAAAAGTCTCAACCGCATCTTTGTACTCGAGAGATTTTTCATTCAACCCACATTTTGACACAGGCCATGAGAGGTTCACACTCGACCCATAAGGCAAAATGCAATTAGTCTAGTAACAAAGAGGCCATACTCTGAACAGAGCCAACCCTGCTAGAATACACAAAGTCTCTTCTCACACTGAAGGCGATCTCTTGACAGTGTTACCTTGTGAAATAAAAAAAACAAATTATGTCTACACAACACACAAAGTACAGAATACACATTTCCTTTTCAAGAAAGTGAGGAAAGATTCAACCAAGGCAAGACTGAAACCCTGCTGGGCAAACACTAAATCCTGCAGCTAGGATTTCCGTTTCAAGGGGTTTGGATGGCTCTTTCTCAAACCTTTCACGCACCCCTCTGGCTGCTTCCACTCCTTCAAGCAGCTATTCACGGCAGGTGTCTCAAGGCTGGGAAATCTCCACACCTGGTGGTTTCAAAATGAAGCCCAGGCCTCATTTTCACAACTTCACACAATGAACTACCAGTCTCCTCACCAGGGCTATCCTCTGCAAACAGGTAGCTACAGCAGTGTTGGACTGAAATTACAGAAGAATGCATGCCATTTAAACTGTGCATCTTTCTTCTTTCAAGGAAATGAGAAGCCGGGCGTTGGTGGCGCACGCCTTTAATCCCAGCACTCGGGAGGCAGAGGCAGGCGGATCTCTGTGAGTTCGAGACCAGCCTGGACTACCGAGCGAGTTCCAGGACAGCCTCCAAAACGATACAGAGAAACCCTGTCTCGAAAAACCAAAAAAAAAAAAAAAAAAAAAAAAAAAGGAAATGAGACACATGGCTTCTAGCTTTTGATTGACCCTAACCCCACCAGAACAGATCACCAAAAGTTGTATATGAAGCTGCTTTCTGGGACTAGGAATCTTGTACCTTTTTTCCTGCCCTATTTAAATGCTTGACCAGCCGGGCGGTGGTGGCGCACGCCTTTAATCCCAGCACTCGGGAGACAGAGGCAGGCGGATCTCTGTGAGTTCAAGGCCGGGCTGGACCGATAGCCTCCGAAACAATACAGAGAAACCCTGTCTCGTAAAAACAAAAAAATAAATGCTTGACCAGGTGGGAAGGACCCTTGCAACACCTCTTCCATGTTTCCAAAGAGGAGCAGGTGCTTTCTCTTTATTGGCACTAACCTCCCTCATCATTACAGCCTCTGCTTCAGCACATGACTGCCCTCCAATACTACCTCGCTGTTTCTCTTGCCAAACCACACAGGTTTCATTTATTTCTGACCCTACTGTTGCTTTTGTCCTCTATGGATCTTCATGAGTCATCAGTGATAACCAAGCCGCAGACTAAATTCTCTGTCAAGACAGTTCATAGTTCATGACTCTTTAACTTAGCCTTACTCATTTTCACAGGACTCGGGATGAATATATGCGGACGATATGCCAAAATATTACACAAAACATCTATTTTAGTTACTGTGAAGAAACACTATGACCAAGGTGACTACTATAATGCAAGGTGATTAATTTGGGGCTTAAACCCAGAGGATTAGACCATTATCATCATGAATGGCAGCATCAAGAAAGACATGCATGGGGCTGAGACTAATATCCTGCTAGAGACAGGCAAACAGAAAGAAACACTTGTCTTAGCCTGGGTTTTTGTAACTTCAAAACCCATCTATAGTGACACCTTAACAAACAAGACACACCCGCCCCCACCAAGGACATACCTCCTAACTGTACACAATTAGTTCTACTAACTGGGGACCAAGCATTGAAAGACAGGAGCTTGAGGGTCTCGAGCAAATATAAACAATGAAATAAATATCACATTAAGTAGCAAGAGCTCTAAAGGAAAAGAGTGAAAAAAACTGAGGGAAAACAAAGGAGAAAGAGATGAAGAGGGAGGGAGAGAGGGAGGAAGGGAGGGGAGAGAGAGAGAGAGAGAGAGAGAGAGAAACAACAGGAAGAAAATAGTTACCCCAGAGGAGTCAGTGCTTGTTGGGGGTTACAGGCGTCATCAGTATAACCTTCCCTACATTATCTAAAGCAAGATTAAACAATACAAGACCTGCAAACTTAGATTTAAGTCCCTATCTTTTCTGTGGGTGCAGAGAATCATCCCCTGCCCCCCTCCTTACCCAGCTCTCACAGAGAGCCTGGGTCTGGTGGAAGCAGTGAAGGGGATGTCTTGGTGTCTTAAGTGTGACTGTTGTAGATGATGCCATCTGGAAGGTACATTTCCAACTGGTAGAATTGCCTCACAAGGCTAAGGTTTTAAATTCATTTTCACTATTTTAGCAAGTTGGATTCTGAAGGTCTTAAATGCCAGCCAACATGAAGAGTCACAGATCCCTCTGAGCATGGCCCAGACCATACTCTACTGGGATAAAACGCAGCTGAGCAACATTTTTGTACGTGGGGACTGAGTAGAAGGTGAGACACATGGGGGACGATGCTTGGCTTTCACAGTACAATCTGTGTGATAAGAAAATGGATCGACTCAGCTGTCTCTGATGGAGGCCACAGAACTCTTTCCTCTATTCCTTTTTTGTGTGGGGCCTACCTGCCTAAGCTATAGGTTCCATCTCCTTCTAAATTCATGGTAATCTTATTAAAATGTCTTTTTAAATAAATTGTTTAACAGTGCACATTTAAACTTTGAGAACTGTGGGTCCCACAGGGACTGTGTCTGATGGAGGATGGGGAAGCGTTAGCAGGGAGTTGGGTCAACCTTGACAAGAAAGCAACCTTGCCTGGGGGCTGGAGAGATGGCTCAGAGGTTAAGAGCACTGACTGCTCTTCCGCAGGTCCTGAGTTCAATTCCCAGCAACCACATGGTGGCTCACAACCATCTATGATTCAACTGGTGTCCTCTTCTGGCCTGTAGGCAGAACACTGTATATGTAATAAATAAATGTTTAAAAAAAAAAAAGAAAGCAACCTTGTGGTTTGCTGCTACCTTGGCTATTGTATCAATACTATATTACAAAACTTCAGAATTTGAACTATAGATTCAACAAAAGTCCAATAAAAAAGCCTAATAATATTGCTATCAACCACAGAAAACTGATGGCAAAAGGTCATCGTGAATGAAAAAATGATCAACATAATATTGTATATATACCACACCAGTGACATCACCCAACTTCAAAATTTCAAACACAACTGCCATAAAGACTGTGCCATCTGGGAAAGAATAAAGAGATCAACAGAACATTAGAGCAAATGGACATAGGTACATAATTAAAATATAGTGTTGACCAATGAGACTAGAAAACTCAGTAAGTATGGACTTACTAACACATGTGACTAGAACACGTTGCATTTATATGCAAATATATTAACAACACAGACCTCAAGATCTGTACAAAATTAACTCAAGGGATCTTGCACACACATGTCAACTTGTCAACTGGCAAGTACAGAACTGTGAGAAGATCCTAGTAACTAGGGCTCTGCTAGTTAGCAAATCTGCCTTCCATTCCGACGGTTAAAGCAGATGTGTGCTCACTGCATGGTGAGGTCAACAATAATCGTGTTTCCACACAAGGGTTCCTGTTCCCCAAGCTCATGAAGGAAGGCAGGACAGGAACTCAAGCACATTAGTAACCTGGAGGCAGGAGCTGATGCAGAGGCCATGGAGGGTGCTGCTTACTGGCTTGTTCCCCATGGCTTGCTCAGCTGCTTTCTTATAGAACCCAGGACCACCAGACTAAAGATGACACCATCCACAATGGGCTGGGCACTTCCCAATCAATCACTAATGAAGAAAATGCTCTACAGGCTTGCATACAGCTAGATCTTATGGATTGAGGCTCCCTCCTCTCAGATGAATCTAGTTGTGCCAAATGGACAGAAAACTATCTATCACACCTAACTGTCTATCACACTGATGACTCACCTTGACTGGATTAAACGGAAACCTGGATGAGTGACCCCCGAAGTGGGGGAGAACAGAAAGATGCTGCCATAGCTAATGTTCTGCTGGATTTAACTCCTGGGGCTAGAGGAATGTAAATGCATTCGTACATCCGTTTGACTAGAAAATCTTTACCTCAACTCTTCAGGAGACTTGTAAACATTATATGAAGCTCACTAGGTGGTACAGCCTACAATCCCAGTATCCAGACTAGTATGGGCTACATAGGAGATCAGGATCAGCAAAGAGGAATTCTGTCTCAAGCAAGATGTTTTCCTGAAGTGCTAGGATGGGGGAACCCAGAGCTTTCATATACTTGGACAGGTGTTCTACCCCTGACCTGCATCCCCAGCGCCCTGTTTCCCATGCTTGGTGACTTAAGTGTCGCACACATGTGGTGGTCAGAGAACACTGGGGATGTTCCCACTCCTGGGGATGAACTCAAGTCATCAGGCTCAGAAGCAAGCGCCTTAACCACCTATAGGTATTGTTTTGTTGTGAGCTAGGACATCGTTTGACGTTCTGCTGTGGAGACAAGGTTTCCCTATGTAGACCTGACTGGTCTGGAACGCTATGCAAACACTAGGTTAAACTTGCTGCCCATCCTTCTGCCCCTCTGACCTGAGTCCTGGTATTACACCATGCACAATTGCATACAACTTCTTTTGTTGTGGGAGAACACTGTCTCAGTAGTGTTCAGGTTAACTTCAAGTTCAATAAATAGATGAAGTTCGCCTTGCATTTTTTCCATACCAAAGTACACTCTCCAGATCGTGACATTTTAATAGCAATCACTAAAGCTGGGCACAGTGATATGAACTTTTAGTATTAGCACTGGGGAGGCAGAGACGAACCTGCTCTAAATAGTAAGTACTAGGCAAGTGACCTAGAGTAAGACCCTTCCAGAAAGAAAAAAAAAAAAAAACGGATACCTTTTAGGCTTGATTGTTTCTCAAATATTTAATTACATTTATTTGTCATGCACGTGCAGATGTGCCCTTCTACACATGGGTCGTAATGTAGGGGAGTCTGTCACTCACGTTGGGCACAAGTCATTACCTGGCTGTATCAAAAAAGACCACAATGGCTGTCGGTCAGTAAAGGGCATGGAGAAGAACCACTCCAGGGATGGTTTCAGGGGACAGCATCTGCTTCACTGCAGTGAGCAACTGCTTCTATGTGGAAGCCTACCAACTAGGATTGGTTAGCACAATCACTTGGATTGAAAGGTTAGGCAGGGATAGTGGGGAAGAGTACTAAACAACACTACTGAAAAGGGGGTCATTTCAGGGTCAGATAAAAATCTGACACAAGGAAACCTTCCAGAAACCAACAAGGATGACCCCAGCCTAGTAGTAGTGGGTATGTAGACTGAAGTAGTCATCTCCTATGACCAGACTGGTGCCTAGGCAAACTTTCAGAGAGGTGACATCCAGCAAGTGATGGAG